GCATTCTGTTGCTGGGGTTCTCTTATTACTAAGCAGAGTGGTCTGTGTGTTTTTGTTTTGAGTGTGAGACGTGTCCTAACTGTCTGCTCTTATAGCTTATAGCTCCACAGCGCGCACGCTGCACGTCTTAAAACTTGCTGTAATTAGTTTCTTGTAAGGGATTTGTATATATTTAACAAAAATTACACCTATTCTAGAAAACTTGACGTTGGTGTTGATGTCTGGCAGCTGTAGGGAGTAGTCTTTTCGATTCTTTTTAGCAGTAAAGTGGATTAGCTCCGTCTTAGCTGTATCAAATTCGACTGCTAGTTGTTTTCCTCTAGCAACTAGTTTTCCTACTTCTTGTTGTAGAATTTTAACGTTCTTTTTGATAGACGTTGAAGAAGTAGTAATTGATATGTCGTCGATGTATGATAGCTGGAATCCACTAACTGTGGGAAATAGCTCTCTGATGTAGACTAGAAAGAATATTGGAGAAACTGGGCTCCCCTGTGGGATACTGGCGTTAATCTCACTAAAATCTTCTATTTGGCCGTCAAAGGCAAGCCTTAGAGATCTATTAGTTAGAAAGGATTTAGCCCAAGTAATTAGGCTAATTGGTAGGCCTAGTCTTTTTAGAGTATCTAGGAACTGATTGTGAGACACGTGGTCAAACGCTCCTTTTACGTCTAAGAAGACTGTGGATGTGATGTAGCCCTGGTGTTTTTGGTGCTGGATTTCGTCTACTAGAAGTAGAGCTGCGTCTATAGCTGATTTTTTGAGTCTACCTCCTATTTGCGAGTCGTGTAGGAGGTTTGTAGTCTCGGCTAGATAGCCAAGTCTCTTAGCTATAATTCTTTCTATTACTTTTCCTAGGCAGCTTAGTAGAGTAATTACTCTATAGGCTTTGGGGATTGAATAGTCAGGTTTAGACGGCTTCTTTAGAATTGCTCCCGTAGCTTTTCTCTAGCAGGTTGGGTGGTATCCGTAGTTGAAAAGTAGAGAGTAGGCTTTGAGTAGCGTGTCTGGCTGGGCTTGGAAGGCAGCTGTTATTATTTCCTGTGATATAGCGTCTGGGCTGGGTGAGCTACTTTTAACTTTATTAGAGCAGGCTTGTTCTACTTCAGTTCTAGATAGCTTTGGCCAGTCCCAGCTTTTCTCACTATAGTCACTAAAGCTTGGTGGCTTTGTAGTTGGGGGTGGGGGAAAGAGCGTTCTTCTAAACGCTTTGCATTTCCCTTTAAACGTAGTTTCTAGAGTCTCTCCTAAGTAAATAGGTGGGATTCTTTCTACTTGCTGTTCTTTTGTATATACCATAGCTTTGAAGATTGACTTTGGGTCTTCTTTCTCAAGGAAATCGTTCCAGTGCTTTCTTTTAGCTTGCTTAATTGCATTCTGATAAGAATTTCGCGCTATTAAGAAGTCTTTCTTATATAGATATGACTCCTCTATAGACGTAGCTTGGAGCTGTTGTGCGAATATTCTTTGGCAGTGAGACACGTTTTTCCGTAGCTTAGTTAGCTCCTGATTCCACCAGGGCTTTGCCTTTGGCCCTAGCTTTAGACGGGGGATAGCTTTGTCAGCAGCTTGTTGGATTACTAGAGTAATAGCTTGTCCAATAGCTTCTAGCTGCTGCTCTAGCTCTTGGTCTTTATCTTGGAGTAGGTTTATTGAGTCTACTTTTCGTTGGTCGATCTGGTCTAGGGTTTGTAGAGCTACGTTCTTCTGTATAGCTCTGTCTAGCTCTTCTTGGAATAGCTCCCAGTTTGCCCTTTTTGTATTATATTTTGTCTGGATTGTAGGGCTATCAACTAGGTCTTTTGTTGTCTGAAGTGAGAAGAGAATTCCATAGTGATCAGAACCAGTTTCTATTATAGTTTGCCAGTCTTTTACTTTATCGACTAGATCTAGTGTAGCAATTGTTAGATCTAGTGTTGTTTCTCTAGATAGGTGCGGCCTAAAGAAAGTGGTAGTTCCTGGCGTATTAAGGAGGCTAAGATTTTGGTTGCCTATCCAGTCTACTAGCTCCTGAGCGCCTTGGCTAGTGGTGGAGCATAGCGGATCCCACCAAGGGTGGTGCTCATTAGCGTCCATTAGCAGTAGAGTGGATACTGGCAGCCTAGTGTTGGCGAGAATTCTCTTGAATGTTTTAATATTTTCTGTGTTTTTTTGATTGTATATATTGTAGATGTTGTAGCTTGAGCGTTCTTGTTGGATAGTAATAGCGATAGCGTCAGGATCAGCTATTTCGTCTATTCGTTTTATCTCTGCTTTAAGAGATCTAGATATATAAAATAGAGCTCTTGGACGTGAGATGGACGAATTTGGAAGTATTTGATAGAAGCTTTGGTGGGCTATAGACCTTAGGGCTTTGTTGTTGCTAGGTGCAATCCATGGTTCCTGGATTGCAATAATATCGACTTTTTGCTCTATAGCTAGCTGTAGTGTTGACTCTGTAGCGTGCAATGGCGCAATGCCAAAGCCAAAAGCAACAAGAACAAGACAAGTAGTCAGACAAGTATGCGTACAATAGTGGTGAGGCTACAGGCTACCCAGGTGGTGAGCTATAATACAGGCAGGGGAGCCAAGGCGCTAGCCTAATGGGGTAAGGCCTTGGCTTCCCATAACATATTGAGCCAATCCCAGAGCCGGATCGGAGGAAGTACCTGCCGCCCTTCAGCAGCTATTCGCCCGATGTCGGATCCGAATTCGGACCCGACTAGGATAGGTATATATTGAGACACTCCCTGTAGCTAGCTCTGTAGACTTTTGATATCCTTTCGTACAAGACCTATAGGTGTCGACTTGAATCAAGGCCTGGTTGCTGTCCACCACGCACTCCCATATGCCTCTGAGTGACTCTTCCCGCCGATACTGATCCAAGTCGTCTTGCCTGTGTCGTTACAAACAATATGTTTATCTTGATTTTAAGATTTATTATAATAGTTTACTTATTCTTATTTCTTATGATTTTTATTTTATAAATAACTACTCGTGTAAGGACACTATCCTAGAAGGCTTACCTCAATGGATCTTCTTTACCTTCTTGGCTATGTCTTATAGATTTAGCTTTTCTCCCCTGTTTCTTCAGCTGCTATTTGCTACTAGCCCTACTCCTTAGTGCCTAGCAAATAAGCAAATAGCTAATATGTAGCTAGATCTAGCCTTTAGGTATAATACCTTGGGTCCTTGCCTTAGTTAGCTCCTTTTTTACTATTTTATCTTTCTTCAATGATATGTTATTTTCACTCCTTTCTTGCCTGCTAGCTGCTCTGCATGTGGTCGACCTCACACTACCACGATCGAGTAGGGTTATCAGCCTAACTAAAGGCCCACACGATGTAGCGAGTAGCCTTGCATGCTAAGAATAATTAATCAGGCTGTAAGGATGATAAATACTCCAACGCCACACTGTGTCTTATTGGTCGTTCTCGTTATATAGAGGGGGATGTTAATGTAGCTAGATAGACAGCCTTCCTTCATTTTGCTTGAACTAATTACACACCACTCTAAAAGTGGTTGATTGCTCCTCATAACCGCCAATATAGAGGGGATGCTATTGAAGAGTCGATAAACGACATTAACAAGACAACTAATAGCCAAGCCTAACACTATAGCAATTCTTTTTGGAGATGAGTCGACTTAAGAGATATTCACTAAAGAATCTTGAGTTTTATCTAATTACACCTCTTTTAGTGTGATAGGAAGTATTTCTTGATATCCAAAGCGTCCACCTATCTCCCAATATAGTGTAACTATCTGTACATTCATGGACGCCCCTTAGGATGGAAATGTTGCTACGGACGTGTCAAGACATGGGGTAGGATGCATTTAGATACGGTCAATTACGGAAGGCATTTTGTTGCTGCTGTGGAGTGTTTGCGTGCAGAGTACAGCAAAGACAAAGCACTAAAATAGGCAAGCATTGAGATAATGGCTATATTCAATTACTAATGGGAAGTCTTGCAGCCATATGCTAGTAAGTGGGCGAGAAAAATCTACCTTATTATAACTAGTTTATACTCGCAAGAAGCTTAATCGCGCAGGTGAAAGTTTATTCCACGACACTAACGCCTGGGTCACCCTGATAGAGATTTTCCTCAGCGTGCTGCAAGATGCTAGCTTAAGCACAATATACCTAATTATTGATGCGCTTGACGAATGCGTGACAGGCTTACTAACCCTAACCCTATATTTGTCACTAAAAACTACCTACCACTCTAATTACTCTAACTCTGTAACCTTCTGATGTTCCTTGACCCTATTTGCAACCTTTATCCTATCCAGGGGGGAACAACGCTCCTGTCAACAAACCTACTATCCCAACCCCATGGAATGGTTAATGCAGCAACAACAATTGCATATATACAAATATCGTCAGTAGGATCGATATTGTACGATAAATCAAACTCCAGAACATTCTCTTCCTGCCCAATTACGCTAATAATTTCGCGTGAACCTCTATTCTCTGTGACATAGATAACCCTCTTTAATCTTTCCTTTGACTTAGAGAATACTTTGCCAAAGAATTTACGAAGAGAGCTACCCTTTTGAGGGCAAACCCGGCCCGTATCGCCACCACCAGCTGAAGTACCACTCTTTTCATCTCTGACACACAGTGCCCTACTTTGGCTATAGGGGTTTTGAATAGGGGTTCGTGGAGCAGTACCATCGTTGTTTACCTGTTGACAGGTGTAGGTGTTCTGGCAGACACCCACATAAGTGTCTGCTGAGTGGGTATCAGGATGCCTGCAAGTATAGGTAAACTCGTTGCCGCCTTGTGCAAGGCAATTAGTTGTGGTGTGTTCAAACACCAAATGACGGGCTCGGCAAAGTTCGACAGGATCTGGAAAGTACCAATTTGGCGCTCTTTTAGCAACATGAAGTGCTACATCCGATGAATTCGTAGAGCTAATGTTATCAGAAGGTAATCTAGAAGTAGAGTTTGGTGCTGCGCCTAAGCAGGTATGGAGTGTGTCGTCACAAGTAGGATCCGAAGTCGCCGAACACGAGTTGTAGGTGTTGATGCAAGCAATAGCGCATGTTTGATAAACGGCACTACAGTCGGTAGAACTCGATGCCGCTGTACACGCAATGGCTTGATCATTGCAGTCTATAGAAGTATTGCTGGTGGTTTTTAGGCTAGCACCTATAGCCAGTGTAGCGAAAGATATTAAAAGATAACGCATTAGGAACCCCTAGAGTGAAAATAAAGATATGGTGTTAAGTAGTGATAGTTCTTTGTGATATCGTTATCAAGTGTTAAAGTCCTTTGCACTCATATATGTAGTAGAACAATCTACCCTAGTTCAATAAAACATAGTCTTATAGAGTAGTTGATGTGGGAATTGACTAGAAGCAAGGATTATTCTTATGAAGAGCTGATTTTAGGCTATGAAATGCTAAACATAGTATTATAAGAAAGATGCTAGTCTGTCAGCACTAGCCTGTCAGCTTATAAAGTTTAGACAAAGGTTTACAATTTTAACGAGCGGATATTATTATTATTATTATTCTAGTTTAACGTCCTTTTTCAGCCCGAAGGGCTATATAAGACGTGTAGGGTTCTTAGG